ATACTTCATGTCAAGGTGAAACTTCTAAAAGTTTTAACAATACTGTAGCCATTAGCCATATATCAACGTCGAGCGAAGAGTCTGATTCGGACGCGGGCAAATTGGGATTAATATCGGTCTTAGTACGAAAGAATTCCCCCCACATTTTCTTTTACTGATTAGGTGGCAAGACAAATCGGTTCGGATAGTGCGAAAACACGGAATGTTTTCAACTTGCCTTTTGTTTCTGAAGGGTAGTTGGACCAGGGTTAGCGCTCAAATGATTTATAGGTACTAGCAATTACGCAGTCCGGAAACAAATACGGCCAATTAGTTGTCAGTCGTTCTGTAAACGAAGAGAAGTTATTGCGAAAATTAATTTCGGAACGGACAAAAGAAATATCGAGGTCACAGAGGAAAAATTAGATCTTTTTTTACAAGAAAAATATTTGAATAATTCCACGCATATCTTATCAGTAATTAATCAGATAACATTGAAGCAGTTGCGGCTTGTACCTGGTTTACAGGGCGATGCTATCTCGGCCTATTCAATACTTTGGTTTATGTAGTCGGGTCGACAATACATTCATACTTTATTGGTCTGGCATACATATTGCGGTATCGGGCCTAAGATCGAAGCTTTAATTTGTTGTTTAAAGCCTGCGATGTTGTTTTATTTTTCTTATAATACTTCTGTACTATAATCTAACTATAATAATTCTTCTCATTCAATTGAAATTATTTTGCATTAGACAAATATCACAGCTGGTGTTACATTTTTGCCACATCACCAAACTATCAAAATATGAATAGTCGTCACGTCATGGAAGTAATGTATTAGAATTATCGCTGGTTTTTGGAGGCACGCGATCGGCCACCCCTTCGCTCTCGTCCTTGACCCGAACTTATTCGGAGCAATGACGTCAGCGAGTTTGGCCAAACCCTGTGCCACATAACAGAAATATTTGCAGAAGAAGCACTCCACACTAATGTAATCTTAACAATTTACATGACAATTAAATGTATTAATCGGATTATTATTTGAAGATAAAATGATAAATGTTAATTACATATCTACTATTTGATTTAGCATTAATTTAGGATTGCAATGAGGACATTTAGAAAATAACAAATTAAAGCATATTGTGGATATGCTACAAAACATTATTGAATGTATCTACAATATACTATATGTCGATTCACATTGTTTTCATTCTTACGGAATCTAAAGAGATTAACTTTCGTTTCAAATCTTTTCTCACTGCTTCTTGTTTCCGCATTGTCCTCCATTCTCATGGACTTTCTGCGTTCTTGGCTGTCATGTACTGAGAACATATCACTGCGTCCGTACCAAACTGCAGTGTTAAATGTGAATTTATTGTAATTATGGCTGCAGCGTTTATCTGACGTTTGCTAGAACGAACCGACCAGTTCAACCTTAATGCAGGAGCTAACATCTGTCTAGAAGACGTTTTAATTTCATTAGTACAACCGAGAGTTGAACTAATGTAATATTTATACCTAGATTTAGTTACAGAATAGGTTTGTATAAAAAGTAGATAAAAGTATGTATTTGTAATGCGTTTTTTGTGTGTTAAAATAACATAACACAACATTACGTCTATTTATCCTCGAAGGGTTAGGCGATGCACATTTCGGCAGTTAGAGCCACTGTATAATGTAACAGCCACTTTTCACTATTTATGTTATGAGTCCCATGTAATAGGAGGTGAGACTATTGCCATATACCGGGCACATTTCTAGACTCCGTTCTATTACTGAGATTTTTAAAAACCCAGTAATACTTTGCCCGACCCGGGAATCGAACCCGAGACCCCTTGCCCAGCAGTCGCACTTGCGACCACTGGGCCAACGAAGCAGTTTTTTTATATGTTATTATGTATATACTTTTTACGCCAATCAGTTTATATTATCTGCCCAATCTGAGAAAACGGCTAAATTGTTAATTCACTAGGTACTAAAGCTGATTTACTTGTTAGTTATTAATATACAGTAATCATGAAAATAAATGTCCATCAACTACCAATGACCAGTTAGATCCGAATCACTCACATTTCGGAACGTTGTTACCGCTATCGTTTCTTTCTACCTTATGACCGATGATCGATGGGCCTCACATCACTGCCCCTAAGCGTTTTTAGCTTGATCCTAATCGCTACGTACGCCCCGGATCCCGACTATCTAGATTACAAATAGCATAAAAATTTAAGTGAAATGCCGTTCCATTTACTCCATATTTTCAAACCAGATTATCTGCAGATGAGGTGCCAAGATTTCAAGAAGTTTTTTGTTCCGCTCTCAGAGATATTCGGATATTTTAAATGTAACTTAATTACTTTCTTTGGTCGTATTTTTATTCGAGTTTAAACTGTCAAACACCAAGCGGTCACCGGTGACCGCAACCTATTGTTCTATAATTATGTCTACAAAACCGGTACTCGACGACTTAAATATATAAAATTGTCATCCATTTTTCAAAATAAGCTTTCGTGTTTATTTTTATTCGAGTATTTTGAAAAAATGTAATGTTATGTTTATTTTTATTCGAGTTTAAATATTTGAAACTAGCTTCTGCCCGCGACTTCGTACGCGTAATACCATTTTTTTTCGTCCTCGTTTGTGATTTTCGGTAAAAAGTAAAAAAAAGAATTGGTTAAAAAGTATCCTATGTCGGTCTCCTGGCTCTAAGCTACCTCCATACCAATTTTCAGCCAAATCTATTCTGCCGTTCTTGAGTTATAAGTGGTGTAACTAACACGACTTTCTTTTATACATATAGATTGTGATCCATTTTTCAAAATAAACTTTCATGTTTAGTTTTATTCGAGAATTTTGAAAAAAATGTTATTTTTATTTGAGTTTAACTCGTCGAGTACCGGTTTTGTAGACACAATTGTAGAACAATAGGTTGCGGTCACCGGTGACCGCTTGGTGTTTGACAGTTTAAATATTTGAAATTGTCATCCATTTTTCAAAATAAACTTTCATGTTTATTTTTATTCGAGTATTTTGAAATAATGTAATTTTATGTTTATTTTTATTCGAGTTTAAATATTTAAAATTGTCATGCATTTTTCAAAATAAACGTTCATATTCTATATAATTGTATCCACCGAAATTTGGTTCTGGAATTTATGTTACGTTGTCTATTGCTTCACAACCGATCCTTTTCAAAGGAAGTTCAAAATATCATAACAAAAGCTCTTTGAAAGTGAACAGAATAAGACGTAGTTTCCGCGTTTATTGTTTCAATAGTTAATTGGTACTGTTAGCGTAGATTATGAGGTAACTAACAACTCATCTAATGAGTTTGTTTTGTCAGTAAACAGTTAGCTGGAACTTTGATTCTACTACTCTATGTAAGGAAACCCGGGTACTTTTATTTGTGTACTTGCTTAACAGATTTGAACAACTTTGTATGGTTAATTAGCGTATTTTGTGTGTTCATTTTCGGTTGTTAAACGATGAAGGTAAATGAAAGTTCATGATTACTTATTTATAGTTCCGTAGTCTATTATTAGTAGTCTTTAGCACCGTAGTTCAGATGATTTCAAATGAACAGTCATTTGAGTTGAGAAAAGCGTAATTCGAGAGATCATACACGGAGACGGATACACAAACGAATGTATACAAACACGTCAGAGTAGCGGAATGTGAACGTAGGTTGACAATACCAGCATGATGCTCTAGACTAACACTGAAATACGATGACAATAATTATCATAATCAGTCATTATTGCAGACATAATGGTCTACAATAACTAATTATGGTCACAGATATTAAACAATTGAACAGTTTCAATTGTTGAGTAACTTAGAGAACGTAAATACAAGTATAATATTGCCTCGATAGTGGCAATCTTCGTCTTAAAGATATTACTACGAGAACGCCAGCAGTAATCGGCCACATTAATTCTGAACCCTCTTTGCACGATAAAAAGTTGTAAGAACGATACGATATAGCGAGCTGAATACATATCTGACTGGATATAGATGTTATTTTGTAGGAAAAATTATTTATGTTTCGAGTGCCGAAAGACGTGCGTAGAATTTCAAGTACTGCTTTATAGATTTACCATCGATTCGAAGATACTCTTTGAGAGCAAGGAGGAATTCTAAACAAGATAAGGAAGATAGAAATGTTAGGGATTGTGGAATTACAATTGGTTCTGCAAAGCAAGATTTTGAAGACAACAGTAATAGTTTTATTGACATCATACTATAGGTTGAAATCAAAGATAATACGGTTTCAATGCTTTTTGTTAAGAAGAGAAAATATTTAAAAGGAAAATACTTATAGACTTTAAGAAACAGAGCGTAAATAAAAAATGTACCTTTGAATTTTTGTTACCCTTTACACAAAGGTTTCTTTTTCAAAATGGCGTTGAGATATGTAATTCGACGTAGAATTGCTCAGTTCCGAACGGAGGGCTAAAGGGTACAGAAATGATTTCCTTTTGTTAACGGCTACAAAGATTAAGTTCTTTTTATTAAAATCATTTCCAGTAGAATGGTTCAGCTTTATTTTCTGAATGAAAGTAGGTTCAAGGGAGCGACTAATAAAAGGGTAGGCATACATAATACAATTGCGGAATCCCAATGTTGGAATAGGTCCAAAAATTGTTACAAGAACTTTAAACGTCTAGAAATACCCGGTTTAAGTACAGTGATTCTCCGGGCTGAGCCGTGACGCTCTCGAGTCGGATACGTAAGACTACAATTTGTTTTATTCATGCTTTTAATAAAATTAAGTTAAATTCTTTATAGTGTTTGAGAATAGAAATGGAATGAAAATATAAATGACAATTGGAGCTTATACATTCATGATTGCATAACCAAAAACCTAAACCTTCAATATGTCATATCCTATGTTGAGAATTCAGACGGAAAGAAAATTGATTGGTCAAACTTAAGCAGTATTTACAAATAATCTGTAAACATAGCAATGAACACACGGCCTAGTAGAAAACATTATGTAACAGCATTAACATTTCACTCACCGGACTTGCTAACTCTGTACCGCAGACCGCGTCCGCCCTTGGGATGGCAGCGGTTATAGGTTCCGAACTCCCCGTAATTGTTGTTCACCCTGCTGTAGTCCGCCAAATGTCGGTTGCCGTCTAGGTGGTTTGGCAGGGACCGGTTCCAACCCATAACATCGCCCACCACAGATCCGCACACTGACGATTCTGTTTGAGACTTGGTGTCGCCATTGCAGAGGTCGCCGCTGGAGCGAGCTCGCCGCCCTTTCAGTCCTTTGGCGGAGTGCTGGCTGATGTTCGAGCCCATAGCGTGGCGGGACCTCACGGGGGCCCCGCCGGCCGCATCTCGCCAATCTTCTTTCTCAACGCTATTCTTTCTGCAGTTGTTCTCACCTGCAAAGAAAAAAAATCCATAAGTATAAACAACATTAAATTTAAACTATGAAAATATTGTTAGAGAAAGCTGTTTTATTCAAAGATCTCAATATTTTCTATATTGCCATTGCGGAAAACACACAAAGAACTACTATTTCGGAAGTATTTTTTCCACGGATAGGTTTTAATTTATTTACTCAATGCGTGTGAAAATATGGCACAGCTAGGCGGGATTCAAAGAAATATAGAAAAATCTAGACCAATCTAACTGGAGCAGTATTTTCAGTTCGGGATAATGTTTTTGTCGCTGATTTATCTCACCCATTGAGAGGAAGTAAAATCTTTTCGGTCCAACCTCAACGCGAAAACACAACTGTTTGTTGAATATTCATTTAATTCGTACACTTATTTTCGGAAACCTTTTGAACTACACCTTCATAAGAACGTTGTCATACACATATTTTACACAGACGAAATAATTTTATTCATGTTACTAATTGCCTTTAACCTCTATTTTATTACATCAAACAGATGAAAATACTTTTAGTATAAATATAATTTCTATCGCTTTCTAGGTACGACTATGTAGGTAGTATGTTTGAAACGTACCTGGAGCTGGTACAAACACATACTTCAATTAAATTTCGTAGCAAAACTGAGAGCGAATTTTGGGAACACGTCGCGAGTTTTAACAGTTGCTTGGAGTCGCGAAATTTCTCGCTAACTAATTATTCAAATTCACGGCAACGACGCATTTATTTGTCGATATCTGCAACATTTATCAACCGAATAATTCGATAACAGAAAGTGACATTAAAGGGTATTATGAAGATATTAGAAGTGTTCGCAGAATTTGTGGATTTGTTAATAGGTAGGCAAAGTCAGTATTTCCATATTTTTTTGTTTATTCATAAACACAAGTAATGATCTATTTGTTTCATTCTCAGATAAAATTATTTAAATCAAACTGTAGTTAGATTACTCACTGTTTGATTTTTGCATTAAACTTGTAGTTGGCAAAATTTGTAATTGTATTCTATTTTTTTGCGGAACGGAAGACAATATAGATAAAAATCAATGTTGCAAGTGTAGCAATCTCTAGGAAGGCTCGAATTTGCAAATTTAGATAAGCAATGCACGAAATATAATTAAACACGTTTCCTGTTATGTATATACTTGTTAATAGCAGAAAGTCAATAATATTGGTTCCACTAATTTAAAAAATATAGTCGATTCTTAAACAAGATATATTTTTGTATTATAGCGCTGAAGAATAATATTACGTAGACCTGTGTTATGGTCAGTTGTTAGTGATTCAGTTCCATAATAAGAGTTCACATATTCATAATGGAAATCATGCATCATGCATGTATGCATATAATATCGGCATATCATTATACTGATGGGTGAGTTTACATTTCTCAGTTCTCACGCTGATTTTAATTACCGCATTGCTACCACATTACGAGTGCATTATTAATTACGCGTATTGTATTTTTTCTTAATCAGAGATAGCACTTATTGCTAGGTATAAACATATAAGCTCATTTTATTGTATAATAGACTTTATTAAAGTTATTACAGTATTAAAAATAATTATTTATAATGGTACGGTTTTCAAAGGCCTTTGCAAAATCATTATATCATTGTCATTCACAACGGTAGATTGAATAATTTTAATCTTAATAAAATCATAAGATTGTTCAAGAAACTCGGCGCGCGAAAGGGTTGAGTTTCGTCCCGAACTAAATTTCCAAAATTCATTTCCTCGCGGCGGTCTGGTAATTTCCATAATTGCTGGAAATATTTCGCCAGTTCACCGAAAATATCGGGAATATTTAATGAGATGCGGTGGCCTGTGTCGTGCCTACTTCCGAAGATTTAATGAATCTTTCACCCGCTTGGCGCGAGTTCATTAAGAGCTGCCGCCACAAATGCCAGCGCCCATGTACACACTATGTGTTGCGTATAAAATATGAATAACGAAGCGGAACGATTCGTTCGAGCTTAGCCTTTGAACTAAATGCGCCGCTCTTGTATTTGTGGCTTTATACGCTTTGCTGGAACTACAAACATGGTCTGTAATATCAAGTACGTGTTCAATATGGTTCTATCTCTAGATTTCCAGAATATTTTGATAGTTGATGGTGGTGTTAATGATGATGAAATCGGAACAAATCGTTTCCGCTCTGTTTGGTATACGCTGGGTACGCTTTAATGTTTCGAAGTCGCTTAAAAGCTTAGTCTCTAGTATACGGATTTAAGCGTCATTACCTCGTTAGTTCTGTCACTAAAAGGGTAAACGGGCAGGTTTTAGAGTTCGTAAGCAGCTTTCTGTCAGCACCAACATGATGGTAGCTCCAGACACGGGACGCATTACACGCACATTCGTCACATCGGATTTATCCGTGGAAGAAACCGTAAGAACAGTAATGTTATATTTTCTGCTGCTGGCTATAATTGAGATGGAATTGTACATAGTTTCGCCTTTAATGGATAAATATAGTAGAAATGTTTTAGACTGCTTCGTTAGCCGAGTGGTCGCAAGTGCGACTGCCGGGCAAGGGGTCTCGGGTTCGATTCCCGGGTCGGGCAAAGTATTACTGGGTTTTTTAAACATTCTCATTGTAGCACGGAGTCTGGAACTGTGCCTGTGTATATGGCAATAGGCTCACCCCCTATAATATGGGACTCATAATATAAATAGTGAAAAGTGGGTGTTACATTGTACAGTGGCATAATGTGCACCTCTGCCTACCCCTTCGAGGATAAAAGGCGTGATGTTATGTTAAATGTTTTAGAGTGAAATCGTTAAACAATTTGTGAGGGATCCGACATTTTTTACAAATCGTTCATATTCTCGCTAAGACCACTTTATTTGTGAAATTTATAGTTATTCCTAGGTCAACCTTCTGGCTATGAAAGTCAAACAATTATAAAATATTTCTGAATGCCAAGACGTTACTGAAATAGTATTCTTATAGGTCAATTCCTTGAATAGCATTCCAAAATTAGGTTACCAACTGAAATATGACAACTCGGAAAATGACAAACTAGATATAATATCCGGCAGCGGACGTGGCTCAGCCTAGGCCGAACGGTAAGCCTAGATAAATGGCTGGGTCCAGCCGATATTTGGTACCTATTCATTTGATGCCAACTCATCAGTTATTTATTCTCACCGAACTTCCATTACGAATTTCAACGATAATATTTCTTATTGAATTGGTCTATTTATATCTCAATTCATATAAGGAATATCATGTAGGTAAGTTACCTAGCTACATCAGTTACATAATCACTATCACTACATAGTATAAAACAAAGTCGCTATCCACCGTTAGTCTGTCCCTATGTATGCTTAGATCTTTAAAACTACGCAACGGATTTTGATGCGGTTACTGATTATTCGTCTGAGCTTTGTAGATAGGTACTACATAGTTATATGTTTTTTTATTTCTTTTCAGTTGCTATTTTCCTGAGTGTAGCCACATAACAAATGCGCTTGAAATACACTGTAAATACAGTTAATTAATTGAGATAGCAGTTAATACTGTTATTGCAATAGACTCAAACATTAACAATTATTAACGACTCCCAATTATGATCATGGCTAAAATCAATAATAGTTTATAATAGTTACTAACCTACCAGGCAAAAAAGAAGCCACAAAACAAGAAAAGGTTCACTGTGTAGTCTCACGTACTACATTAAACAATGTCAATATAATGCAACAAAAACACACACAATACGACTTCCGTTTCCAAGTCGATCTTCCTCTTGTTTGACGCTAAACAAATAGGACAGACACACGGGACGCCATTGTTGCAACGAACAAAAACTTCCACCAAGTTACCTGTAGATATACAAACATGGAGTACCTATATAAAGTGGGTCCCATTTTTGTGAATAATTCTACAGAACTTATCGTAACTATGAGCATTTCGCCATTTAAATTTTCTTGCTATCACATTCAGAATTCATTTTTTGAAAGTTTGCATTCACCGTTGCATTTTCAAAAACTCAGATTGACGATTACGTTCTATAGAAATCTCATTCTACTTACGCTTTTGTTACTGACCGACAAATTCTAGGAATATGCAACTTTATATTTCTCGTAACGCGTAACCGCATTCGATAAAATGGAATCAAGAACGAACGAAACATAACCTCAAAGTACTACAAAAGGTAATTGCTTCCATAATTACTTTTATTGGTTGGAATTGGCGACTGAAACAAGTCAAGCATTCAAAGAACCACTGTTTATCTTGATTAATAGTCCGGTTAAAATATTTTATTTAAAGATACTGAGGTCTCGGGTCCCTGAACAGGGGACGTCAGTGATTGAGTAATGACGCGCGACAATGACCTTTTTGTCTCATGCAACAGTAACGTCCTTGCTATTGTTTAAACAATGGTTGTTTCGACTTTAGATGTATTTGTAACGGTATTGTGACTGATTGACCTGATTCGACACAAAAACTGTTCCCAACCCACAAAGTCTTTGTAGGACTACTACGACAACTGAACGCATTTGTTTAAAAGATCAAAGATCGTTTTCAAATAAACGCCAGAAATTGTATTTGACTCAATTTTAGAAATTAGTGTGATGTTAATTTGATCTATGTTTTTAATCTTTTGAAAGTAAAAGGTTTGTTTATTAACACAGACAATGGGTAAAAGTGCAACAAAGTTCACACAATTACCAAAGGTTAATGTTTAGAACGATGTTGAAATAATTAAAAAGTTGAATTAAAAAAACGTGGCTAATTAAGAGTTTTTGGAGCTTTTACCTTTTAAAGATACGGTTTGAGGCGGTTTGTTATGAGCGTGGGGTAGCAAGCGGTACCTACTTTTGGGGATTTATTTAACTGTCTCTGGAAGTAGGGCCCGGATTTGGGCCGCAATGAAATCTCGCGCAGACAATTAAGAATCGTCACAATGAGACTGCGACGCTCAGCCTTCGTCGTTATGTTTCACTAACGTTACCGTTGTTTCTATCTGTTGTTAAGACTGTT